AGGTGGAGATAGACATGACTCGTAACCGGTACCACAGTAGCAAGTTTTGGAAAAAATCCCCATCCCAGAGGAAACGGGAAGTTTTCAAACCCCAAACCACCATGACTCCAAGAACATCTGGTTGCTTTAATGTGGAAAGGAGGAACACTGTGCAGCAGAATGCCATTCCAAAACCCCTGCCAGAAAGCCAGATCACCCATCCGGTGGGAAACCTGGAACATCCAACCCTCAAGGAAAGGAGACTGGCCTGAGAAGCCGAGTAGTTGTGGGATTCCAATCCCGCCCAACCCAGAGGAAGAATCCCCAACACTCTGAGGGGACCTGAGCCAGTCTGAAAGCAATCCGGAAGATGACCTGCTGGTAAGCAACCCAATTGAACCAATAACTGTTTATTCCAAGCCGAGGGAAGGAGGAGGAAGTTGCAGCGTTGCTGGATTCGGGATGCATCTGATGCCTAATCAACCTCTCCCTTGCAGGGAAATTGGGGGTCCAACTGGAAGAAACGGAAAATCCCATCGCTTTCTGCCAATTAGATGGAACTATAGTGGGCGAGAGCCAGCTAGGTTTACCACAGAACCATTGAAAATAAGACTAGGGAACCATAGTGAGATGCTCATATTCATTGTAGCCCCAGGAATGGAAGAGCTGCTAGTCCTAGGTCTCACATGGCTGTGGAAATGGAATCCAAAAATAAATTGGAGGAGAGGAACTGTACAATTCCAGAGAGACGTAGTATTTGCAAATAGCCCAGAGGAAAGGATAAAGAAAGGAACAGAGAACAGAGAGTCAGCCGTGACCGAACAGTCGGCTGAACCCATTAACTGCCCCAACGAGTACCTGGATCTAGCCCAAGCATTTAGCGAGGAAGCTTGTGATGAACTTCCACCCCATTGTGCCGCAGACTGCACTATTGAAATCCTACCAGGGGCTAAACTCCCCAAACCACAAATGTACTGTATTTCTCCCAGAGAACTAAAAAAACTCAGAGCATTTATCGATAAAAATCTAAAAAGGGGTTTCATCAAACCAACCAGACCCAAAATAGCTGCCCCAGTATTATTCCATTAAAAGAAAGATGGCTCCGTGTGTCTGTGCGTGAATTACAAAAAGTTAAATGCAATTTGCATAGAGAATATGTATCCACTCCCCCTCATGAAGGACATGTTAGCCCACCTCTTGAAAGGAAAAAAAAATCAAAGTTAAACCTACGAGAGGCATATTACTGCATCAGAATAAAGGAAGGGGATGAGTGGAAGACAGCTTTTAATATCCCACTGGGATGCTACCAATTTAAAGTGCTCCCTTTTGGACTGCAAGGAGCACCTGCCATATTTATGCAATTGATCAATGAGACCCTTCATGAATTTTTATATAAAGGGGTTCTAGTTTATCTTGATGATATTTTAATCTACACAGAAATGATGGAAGAACACATCAAGCTACTCCGTGCAGTCCTCACAAAACTCTTAGACGTTAAACTATATGAAAAATTCTCTAAATGCAAATTCCACCAAGAAAAAATTGACTACTTGGGGTATAGAATATAAAACGAGGGAATAGAGATGGACCCACAGAAAGTAAAAACTGTTATCGATTGGGAACCACCACATACCCGCAAGCAACTGCAAAGTTTCCTGGGGTTTGTGAACTTTTATCACCAGTTCGTTCCAGCTTTTGCAAACATCGCTCTCCACATCATGAACCTGCTAAAAATGGGAGAAACCCAAACCAAGGCAACCCCTTATCTGGGACAATGGAATTCAAAGCAGCATTCAAAAAACTCAAATGTCTATTCTCAGCACAACCAGTCCTTAAGCACCCAGACCCCGAACAACCTTTTGACATCCAAGCAGACGCTAGTGATGTTGCAGTTGGAGCAGTCCTCCTCCAAAAGAATGGAAATGGACAATTACAACCATGCGCTTATACATCAAAGAAACTGATGGAAACTGAGCAAAGATGGGCCATATGGGAGAAAGAGGCATATGCTGTGTGATGGGCACTCCTCACATGGAGACATTTCCTGGAAGGAAACCAAATTCCCTTTGAAGTATGGACTGATCATAAAAACCTGGAAGCCCTGAGAAATCCACGAAAAGTCTCCAAAAAACAAGGAAGGTGGGCTCAATATTTTAAACGGTTTAATTTCACTCTCAAATATTTTCCTGGGAGAAAGAACTTATTAGCAGATGCCCTGTCCAGAAAACCCCAATACAACAGCAAAAAGATTGAGGTTATAAAACCAACGATCCGACTGACCCAATTTGCAGCCAAAGTAATCACCTGGGCACAAGAGAAAAAGAAATCATCACTGACTGAAGACACAATGATATCAATATTTAAGGAGGCACTACTTAAGGACAACTGGCTCCAGGCTAGCAAAAACACTTGCTTACTCAAAGATGGTCTGGCCAGGATAGGAAACAAACTTTATGTCCCTCATGAAATGCTGCCATGACTCAAAAATAGCAGGGCACTTTGGGTTTGTAAAAACCCTGCACCTCATCAAAAGACAATTTTGGTGGCCATCTCTCAAAATGGACATTGAAAACTATGTTGTGAGCTGCCCCACCTGTGCTGCTGCAAAGAAAAGACAAGGAAAATCTCCAGGTTTTTTACAGGCAGTAGCAGACCGTTCTGCACTCTGGAAAGAGATTTCTAAGGACTTTATAGTGGAACTCCCTGAAAGTGCTGGAAATACTGTCATTTGGATTGTAACTGATCTTTTTTCCAAACAGGTTCACTTTATTCCATGCCAAAAGATCCCAACTGCCAAGGCCTTGGCAAAGATGTTTCTAATACACATTTATTGCCTTCATGGAGCTCCCCAACGGATTATCTCTAGGGGCGTCCAGTTCACATCCATATTTTGGTGGGCATTTTTAAACCTATTAGGCTCCACCCAGGGGTTGTTGTCATCAAATCATCCCCAGACGGATGGATTGATAGAGAATTAACAGCTTATTAGAACAATATTTAAGATGCTTTATTAATTATCAACAGGACAATTGGACTGACCTTCTTCCTTTTGCAGAGGTAGCATACAATAACTCAGTCCATATCAGTACGAGTTTCACCCCATTCCAAGTAGCCATGTGCCAAGAATTCAACCCCATGCCAGAACTACCTACCAAAGAACCTGAAATCCCCTCCCTTAAGGAGTGGGTTAATAACCTGCAAGCCATGTGGGCGGTGGTAAGATTATCTTTACAGGAAGCTAGAGCAGTTTTTAAAGCTCAAGCGGACAAAAAACACTGCAATCCTAAACCTTTCAAGATTGGGGACCATGTCCACAAAATTCTTAAAATCATTACAACCCTCAAAGAAACTGGGGCCAAAATTCTTTGGACCATTCCCCATCTCCAGAATTATTAACCCTGTGACGGTAGAGCTTCTACTTCCCAAAACACTTAGGCAGATTCATCTAGTATTTCACTGTAGCTTGCTCAAACCAGAGATCACTTCAAACCTCAGACCGCTACCTTCCCACACCTCCAACTCCCATCATGGTAAATGGGGAACAACATTCTGAAATTAAAGATATCCTTGATTCGCACACTCGCCATGGATCAACACAATATTTAGTAGCTTGGAAACACCTTCCTTCCTCAGAAAATGAGTGGGTAGCCAAATGACATGCAAAAGCACCCACATTACTATGAAAGCTCCACCTAAAATACCCTGATAAACCATCCTGAATTGCAAATGTAATGCATGGTTTTTGTTTTTTCCAGGTAGATCTATCTGCTTTTTAAGGAGGGCAGGATGTCAGATCCGTGTATGTGTCATTTCTTCAATGAAAGAAGAAAGGTGAGGGGGGGTGGGGGGAACTGATAAAGAAATCCTTTTTGATGTATCCTGAATATATTTAATCTTATATCGAATTTGTATAAATTACACATGATACAATGGAGGGATGAAAACCAGATGCCCAGAAATCTATCACTTCTGGAAGAGACAGCCAGGGGATGAAGAGACCATAAAAATTCAACAGTGAGATGTGCCCTGGGAACCTCTGAAAAAGATTGTTCTAAAAAGGGGGTGGGGGAATTAACATGTTGGCTCTTTGTTTTACTAAATACACATCAAGATAAGGGGAGGGGTTTTAAACTCCCTTATCTATCTCTGCCTGCCTGAGATCTTAGATGCTGCTTTTAATCCCTACATGAATTGTCTCATCTCAATAAAGGATTCCTTTGATACGTTTGGTTTTCAGAAGTTCATTCTTGTTAATTGGATGGGAAAAGTTCTGCTGCCTGACAACATGCTTCTGTACATTTTATTACTAGAATGAGTTGCTGGTGCTAATTATGCCAGACACCTTTTAAACAGGTAGGGTCAATTTAAATCCACCATTACATATATTGAAGATTTCTTCTTTTTTTCCAAGCAATTTTCTGGATTTCAATTAACTAATTTCTCAATCATGTATTCTTTTCGTAGTCCCAAATTAATGTTTTCCCAATATGGCCTTGATCAAAATATTGGTCTTTTTTTTTCAGCCAACTCCTCTATCCATAGTACAATAATTCCTTGATAAGAGCAATGTACTCCTTTATGTTCATGAGCTTACCTTCTTCATCTGGTATCTGGCCTATTAATGAAATAGTCTGAGGTAATTATGAGCTCTACTAGTGTTGACATAAAACTTTTTCTCTTGTTCTGACACCATTCTACAACAGCTTTAAGGTATAGAAAATATATCTGTCACCATTTGCTACTTGAATAGTGATAGATAAATTGTAAAGATAATTAAGACAAGCTAGCATTAATAATGGAAACAGTAAATGTCCTTCTCCTATTGTTTCCTGCCAAATCAGGCATGGATTTGTAGTTTCACTCAGAATATACCACTGACCTAGGATTAAAAAAAACCTACCCAGTGCCCCTGAAATAAAATTGGGCATCCTTGCAGTAGTTGGGAGGAGAGGGGGGAGGGAGGGAGAGAGAGGGTAGGGGAGGGAGGGAGGGAGAGAGAGAGTGAGTAATTGGACACCTACCTCAAACCATTGTCCATGAGACTGCATTTTCAGTATGACACAGGGATCTGGTTTAGAGAGGGCATCTCTGTCAGATATGCCTTTGCATGCCACTCTCAATTCTACCTTGGTCAGGCAGGGGCTGCTAAAGATTCCCAGAGTATTGGCTGCTGATTCATAGATGTTACTCATTTTTTTCATTATCTGTAAGTGGTAAAAAAAATCAATTTAAAACAATACTACATTTTATGATTCCTATGAACATTGTTCCTTTAATTAATTCTCTAAGAAAAGGTGATTATCAATGTTCTAATAGCTCACACAATATGTTGACTTGGAAAAAGAGTCATCACAGACAATTCTTTCAACAGTATCGCATATTGACATTCCAGATATATCATACAGAGAATAAACTAGCCACTGAGGCCAGACTTCCCCAATGATGTGCTTTGAGTAAAAACATCATTATTTTCTAGATTGTGTTGTTGGGAATTATGGGTGTTTTGTTCAATTATGGGTACCTTTCTGGAAGAAGGTAGATTGAGCAAAAACTGATTTGTAAAATTTAGATAAGATTTTTAAAACACTGATATATGTCAAAAGGTCTTGCCAAAATCTCAAATCTTTCGAGATACAAATAAGAAACTAACATAAAATTTTGAATCCTGCATTTTAAATTAATCTGTGCTGTCATTTTCTGTTGTGAATGTGTTAAAAGTAGTTATATGAGCACTTCATTATGATTTTTAATAAATTTAGCTTGTTTTTTTCTAATTACTGTTTCAAGTTCATATTGAGGCAAAAACGGTTTTTAAGACTTATTGCAAAGTGGCATTTCAAGTAACTTGTTTCTTATAAACCGTGAGGCCCAGCTCCTGGTCTGTAAACTGGCAACCAGTCTGCAGCATGCCAGCAACTGGTCCATGCAAACAAGCAAAGCCCCATCTGCGGGATGCAAGCAGCACACAAAACCACACACACACACCCCACCCCAGTCCACAAGAAAACCTTTCTCCATGGAACTGGTCCCTGGTGCCCAAAAGGTTGGGGGCCACTGCTGTAAAAAGATACATTGCTGATAAAATGCTTTTTAAACAGTGAGAGTAGCATTTCCCATAGGAGTTAAAAGTTGATTCTCTTCAATCTTGCATTTTAAACAAATTGAGGATACTAATTTGTGAGCATCATTTGATTTACTTCTAAAGCTCTTGGCCAATTCTTCCAAAAAGCGTGTGTATATATAAGAAATTCATGGTAAGGAATTAGCAGAGAGAATAGGTTTGTGTGTGTGTGTGTGTGTGTGTGTGTGTGTGTGTGTGCGCGCACGGGCGCATACACGAGCGCGCGCACACACACACACACGTTTGACCTGAACATCTTGTTTGTATTGTTGCAGCCCTCCTTCTTCTCTTTGGTCACACAGTCTTTCCAGTAGACTATGGTAAATCATTGAGTCACCCCATTTCTTAATTAGCTACTCCTATCATGCCACTTTTCAGAATTTCACAAGTTTCTGTTTTTTCTAGTACTGCTTTGCAATTTTTAAAATGTTTTCTAACCCCAAAAATAAGGTTCTTGTAAGCAATGGACTTTTTCCCCTTCAACCGAAAAAGAATGAACTTCTGAAATTTAGGCACTTCAAAAGCAATTCTTTTTTGAAAGGAAATGATTCCAATACTAGTCAAAGCAGAATCTAAGATGCTTCCAGGCATACAGTAACAGATAAAGGGAGTTAGAACCCCTCCCCTTATTTAGATGTGGATTTAGTCAAACAAAGAACAACATGTTAATTCCCCACTTCCCTTTTCTGGGAACGTATCTTAGAAGAGTTTCCCAGGGATTATCTTCCAGAGCTGGAATTTTTGCTCTTTCTCCAAGAGATGACAAGTTTCTAGCCATCTGGCTCCAGTCCTCCAGTTGTGTATCATGTGCAAGTTATACAGATTCAATGTAAGATTTAATATATTCAGGTTACATCAAAAAGGATTACTTGTACCAACTTTCCCCGCTTCTTCTTCCATTGAAGAATGGCAGATACACAGATTTGACATACTGCCCTCCTCAAAAATTTGAGAAATCCACCAGCAGGTCATCTTCTGGATCGCTTTCGCACTGGCTCAGGTCTTCTCAGGGTGTTGGCGATTCTTTCTCTGGGTTTGCGGGGGAACCAGAATCTCACAGCTTCTCAGCTTCTCAGGCCAATTTCTTTTCCGTGTGGGTTGGATGTTCCAGGTTTCCCACCCCGGTGGGTGGTCTGGCTTTCTGGCAGGGGTTTTTGAACGACATTCTGCTGTGTGGTGTCCCTCCTTTCCACACTTAAAGCAACCAGACATTCTTGGAGTCATGGTGGTTTGGGGTTTGAAAACTTCCCATTTCCCCTGGGATGGGGATCTTTTCCAAAACTTGCTACTGCGGTACTGGTTATGGGTCATGTCTATGTCCGCCTCCTCTGCCATCAGGTACCATTCATTCAGGAGGTTTGAGGCCCCACAGGCCAGGCAGGCAGTGTACAGGTTGTTGTTGAGTCCATCTTTGAACCAACAGACTAGGATATCTTCTGGCCAGTCGACTCGGCCGGCCAGGTCACGAAATTCCTCAGTGTATTCAGCTACTGGGCAATGGCCTTGCTTTACGAATCTAATGAGGTTGCGGGCTTTTCTGACAGTGAGGGGGTCTTTGAAGTGGTGGTATAGGGCCATCATGAAGCGGCTGAGGTTCCTTAATTCTGGGGCATTGACGTTGGAGTGTCACCATCCATCTGGCTGCTGCCCCTTCTAGGGTGACAACTCGTACTCAGGCCCCCTGGGTTGGGAAATTCCACCTGTATTCTTGCATGGGTGAGGACTTGCGCCAGGAAAAATCCCAGTTTCTGGGGGTCCCCATTGAATTTTACCCCCCAAGGGCAGGACCTTTATCTGCAGTTGTATGTCTCTGTGTTGGCCAGGGTTAATCCCCTGCTCTGGGGTGGCAAGGAGTTGGGTACCTGGTATGGTTGCTGGTCTTCCAGCTTGTTCCAATGCTCTATCATTCTCCACTGGATCAGGGGTGACGGCTCAGGTTCTCTCAATTTCTGGGACACTTGCTCTCCTACGTTGGCAGCCTGGTTCATCCCTCATATTGAGATCCTCCAAGGCTTCCCTCAGAAGGTGATTTATGTACAATTTCAGTCAGTCATCTGCCAGTGGTTCCTTGACCCATTCTTCCTGATCAGAGAGAGCCTCCAGCTCCATTTTCCACCCAGGTTTATGGTTATCCTGGGTGAGGGTTACTCCCTTGGTTCTTCTATCCCAGTTGTCTCTTTTTTATGCCTATAGACCACTAGGGCTTTGTGGAATTTTCGCAGGCAGCTTCACTGTCTTTGATGGGGTGCACAGTCTGTGTCTGGCTGGGTAGCTGTTGAAGTTTCTCCCCAGCATTTGGCTTCTCCTTGCTCCTTGCTATATTCAGACATTTTTTGCAGGGTGCCCTCAGTAGAGTGAAGTTTTTAACAAAAATTCCTCTCCGGGTTGACCTCTATTGCAAATTCTGCTTTATGTAAGCAATGGACTTTCCCCCCTTCAACTGAAAAAGAATGAACTTCTGAAAGCTAGGCACTTCAAAAGGAATTCTTTATTGAAAGGAAATGATTCCAATACTAGTCAAAGCAGAATCTAAGATGCTTCCAGGCATACAGTAACAGATAAAGGGAGTTAAAACCCCTCCCCTTATTTAGATGTGGATTTAGTCAAACAAAGAACCAATATGTTAATTCCCCCCTCCCCTTTTCTGGGAACATATCTTAGAAGAGTTTCCCAGGGATTATCTTCCAGAGCTGGAATTTTTATGATCCTTTCTCCTCTTGCTGTCTCTCCAAGAGGTGACAAGTTTCTAGTCATCTGGTTCCAGTCCTCTAGTTGTATCATGTGCAAGTTATACAGATTCAATATAAGATTTAATATATTCAGGTTACATCAAAAAGGATTACTTGTACCAACTTTCCCCCCTTCTTCTTCCATTGAAGAATTGCAGATACACGGATCTGACAGTTCTATGTCTAATTCTTAGGGAGTTTCAGAAATTCTAAACAATTTATCTTGGTGATGTTTTGAGTTTATTTTTTAAAAAATTGAAACTAGTACACTACAGGATGATACTGTTAGTGTTATTTTCTATTAAGCAAATATGAAACATTCATTCCTTTGTGACTGAATAAGTAAAAAATCACATGCCATCCATAAAAATGTTACCAAATTCTTTCCTCCCATAACATAATTTTTTAAAGAGCATCTTTTTTACTTTTTCAAAATGAGTAATGGGAAAAATACCAGGAACAAATACAACAATTATGGGAAATATACAGGGATGGCATTCTAGCTGTTCGGACCAGTTATATATAACTGGTTGTTACAATTCTGCGCAGTTTGGAGAACTGGCAAATTGTGCCACTGGCTGGCCCTGAACCTCCCCGCCCACCAAGTCACTCCTTATCTCACATGTGTGCCATACAACTTGCCTGCATTGTGCCTTTGCCTAATTTTTGGTAAGTTGCTATTTTTCCTCCCCCCCCCCAACAATCAGCTGTTCTGACATCAGCTGTGTGAGGCAATTTAGATTAGCTAGAAAGCAGGATATCACTGGGTTTCTTCCTTTCTAGCTAATCTAAATAACTGTTGTACTGCTTTGCCTTCATCCAGGAGGCTTCCCTGAGGCCCAGTCAGGGGTGGTATTCAGGGGGTTGGGGAGGGGGAAGAAGAGGCCTGAGAGCAGAGCTGAACCTTCTTAGGACTGAAGTTTCTATTTTTCAGTGCAGACTCAGGCAGAAGATTGCAGAAAGGTATATTTGTGAGTGAATCTGTGATTCTGCAAGCAACTCAATATGCCTGCCTGCTTTGCCTGATTTTGGGTAAAAGTTGCTCTTTTTTAAAAAAAATCAATATTTACATAAATATTTACAATATTTACATACAAGCCATGCCCAGCAAATTAAGCCCAGTCACATGACCACCAAGCCATGCCCACAAATTAAGCCACATTCACAGAACTGGTTAAGAAATTTGAATCCCACCCCTGGAAATATATGTTACATGCTCTTCAAATCATCTCTAAGTAGCCCAAACCTAAAGAGGCTTAATTTACCTCTTTTATTTTTTTCAATAAATGGGAAAAAATACTCTATCTCATTGCATCATGGCTACATTTCCTGTAGTTTTTTGGAGCTGCTACAC